GGGAGAATGGGTTGATAAAAGTGCTTAGATCTGATTCAGCCAACAGTGGGACTTTTACCCTTTTCTAAGCAAATGAAGTACAGAGTTTAGAAGGGTTTAAAAATGGCGCAGTTGCTAAAAGGTGTAAGCAGACTTCTCCTGTGAATTAAAACAGGCTGGTGCAAATTCTTGTAGCCTTGCTGACAAGTCTTCTCCAGAAATTTGTGTGTGTGAAATCTGTATCTCAGGAATGAAATCCTCATTTAGCAGCAAGAGCATCATGTATGGAAGCCTTTCCAGCACTGTTTCCCACTTGCCATATGGCTAGCTTCACAGGCATTTATAGCAACCGATGAGCAATGCTGCAGCGCTTTGAACACATGTGAGAGAGAAAGCTGCAATGGAAGCCTCAGACAACAGACTGACCCTTCAAATAGCCTTGATTTGGTAAGTTGGCAAAAATACAACTATTGTCTACACTGCAGGCACTTGTGTTTCAGAAGTATAGATGATTATTATTAAGGTTGGTCACACACCCAGCCAGATGTTTAGACTGGATTTTTATCTACCTATCAATACTTGGGGTAGGCAGATGCTGTTATTTGATGGTGTTAAAGGTATTGTCTCAGGAGGTAAGCTGTTCCTAGTAAAACTACCTTTTACAATTATTATTATTATTATTATTATTATTATTATTATTATTATTATTATTATTATATAATTGATTACCAATGCGCTTATGTCAATGGACTGTGCAATATCTTTTCCTCCCATCTTTGTCATCCATCAGGCTTCATAAGTCAGAATTCATGTTCAGAATTCTATCATTCTGTAATGCAATTCTGGTTGTAGCAAAGCCCTGTTACTTCAGAACTCAGATCTTTACTTTTAAATTGTAATTACACTCATGTAGGCATATATGACTTTGATTATATTCATAACAATGTCTGTTTTTAGACATGGTTTATTAAATAAACCATGACTGCCTGCGTTGTTTCATATTATGCCAACATGCAGCATAGTTCACAAACCACAATGGCTCAGTTCACATGACAAACCCAACTAAAACCAAGTAAATTCTTCGCTCATTGCAATGTGTGAACGCAGTCTGTTAGAAAAGAAGATTTTAGAATTTGTTTTAGGGGAATCTGTTCCACTGAGCTGTGTCCCATAATAACACTGCCCCCCTTGTTTGCCCACAGCCCTAGGGAGCTGTCCAAGTTCTATTGAAGCTCTTTCAGATTTTCTCATTTTTTTCCTTTTGGAGCTATTTTGTTTCCAGGTGTCTTGTTCTTCTATATTGCCATCCAGGAACACCAGAGCTATAAATGTTGAGAGTATTTTCTCCCCCACCCTTTTCCATGAGGTCCTTCTCAATGCTTTCTTTTCATTTGTCCATCATTCTCCAAACTTACATGAAAGCTAGCATCTCTCTCCATCCCATATTGCCAAGCTCTAAATATGGAAGCCATGTTACCTAGGAAAAAACACACTGAAATCAACATGACTCTTTTTTAATAGGCCATGACAGAGTTACAGTACATTGTCAGTTTCCTAGTTAACTGAGAGTATATATAGTGGGTGGTGTCAGCAGAAGAAATAAATTCGATTTAAATAATTGTATATTTCATTACAGTAAATGACATCAATACACTTAATATGATTCCCAATGTTCCAAATATTTCCTTTTCTCACATAAAAAAATAAGATTAATTTTGTATGTATAAGTTCACATACATACAGCACATTGTCTGTGCTAAAATATGCACCCCCAGGGAATGAAAAATCTTCCCAAACTTATCTGCATTCCTAGGCTACCTCATTACCAGTACCAAAAATCAACAATGTGTGGGGTTGGACTAGGAGACCTCCAAAGTCCCTTCTGAGCCTTTTATTCTGTTATTCAGGGTGGTGGGACAGAAATGAAAGGAGAAAAGCAGAAAACTGCTTTTTGAAGATCTCAGTCCAACATGTTTTTCTTATTTTAGATCAGGGGTCTTCAAACTTGGCCCTTTTATGACTTGTGGACTTCAACTCCCAGAATTCCTCCGCCAGCGTGCCTGGCTGAGGAATTCTAGGAGTTGAAGTCCACAAGTCATAAAAGGGCCAAGTTTGAAGACCCCTGCTTTAGATCAAACTAGCATGTGAACTGGAAAGGAGCAGCTTAAGGTCTAGTGAGGACCTTCCACCAGAGAGGATTCCTTCTTTGTTCATCCAAGCCTATATTCCTATCTCATGAATGGAGATCTCTGTATTAAAAGTTCTGAGAGGGCTTGATAGTCTCCCACCTAAATTTTAACCAGCTCTGGCCCTACTTTACTTTCTACTCTGGACAAGCCATCGGTCCAGCTAAACTGCCTTAAAACAAATGGTAACATGTCTTTAATTCCAAGAATGTAGTATGAGAATTATTTTGTTGAATTATTCCTGCTAAAAATGCCATTTTTTCTGACTGCCCTGTGAATGGACTTTTTAAAAAAGAAACTAGTACTTGACCTATTTTTTTCTTCTTCTCTTCCCTCATTATTTTTGCTAATTAATGATACTGCCAATATTTGCATGGAAGCTTTCTTTCCCTTTCCCCAGAACCTTTCCACCACCCCCTTCTTCACTTGATTTTTTATGGGGAGAGTCATAATCATATGTTTATTTCAGCACGTCCTTTTGGCAAAGAAATTATTGTAATATCACAGACTCAGTTCTAGGAGTTTGTAGGCACATCAGGAGAAACAAAAAGCCAACATCAGTTGCTAGAGTTTTTTAGCATTTTAACAGTGGTGTTGATGTTCTCTCCTACATGAATGTCATACAAGCTAAAAGAGCTTTATTTAAAATTGGATTTTATTCAGGCATGCAATACATTTGTTCAATGCTGCTTGCCAATGTCTTTAAGGCTAACTTTGGAAATACCAGCTTGAAGACCTGATCTGTCTGTATAAGGCAGAATATATTACTAGAATATGGAAGCTGCTGTTCTGTTTCACTTTCTTGCAAGTTACTTCTTGCCATTAATTAACCACAGGGTAACTCTGGGCAGCTTACAATCATAAAATATAAATATATATGTATACTAAAAACATAAATAAATACCAACAAATGCTACGATCCAATTTAGCCATACTCAGAATAAGGATGGCTAAAACTGACAGTTCTGCTTTCTCCCACATTTTAAACTTCAAGTTTTTAACCACCTTCTCCAGGAAGAAACATTTCAGTTTGAATAAAGTTTAAATTTTTATCCACCTGCATCAGCCAGGTTCAATAAATACAGTTCTTTCTAGTATGGAAAAAACCACAATGGACATCTCTGCCATAGAACTAGTAAATATAAGGAGGACACATCAAAAATTCCAGACTTAATTTAGGAAAGTTCAGTGGATCAAATCCAGATTAAATAGCCCTTTCAATCATTTGATTGAAAAAGAAACCCACAGAATTTGCAGGGTTTGCTTTATGAATTATTTCATTATAGCTACTCTGGAAAGCCTATTTGTCACTGTTGCTTGGATGGTAGGATGGTAAAAGCTGCTTGGTTATAGCAGCTAATATCTGTTTACCAAAGACTTCAAGAGTCACACAGGGCACTTATTCCCACCTTGCCATTTTCATTCCTTGAGCCTCTGAAGACATTTGAAAGCCATTTAACAGACATGAAAGGAGAAGAAGTAGCAAATACCACTGATTTGAACTGGTACAGCTATTACCACTACATAAACTTTTCCCCCTCCCTTGCTTTATGTTAAAAGGAAAGAAAATCATATGGCACCTTGTAGTCTCCTCTGCTGAAAGGAAATTGATAAAATTCCATTTTGTCCAAGTGACTACAGAGAGCTACAAAGCCGTCAAGCTACCATTCCCTTATAAGACCTGAAAGTGAGTTACAAGAATGAGGGATGAGGACAAAGTTCCTAACATTGGAAAAGTAGAACTATGGCATCTCAAAAGGAACATTTAACTTGCAGTAGTTTCAAGTAAACCACAGCTGGGCTGGAAATAAGTCATCTCTGTTTTCTAGTAAATGCTGATATATGATAATACAGAAACTGAAAGCTTCTTTTAAAATCCACAGGGGATCTTCATATAGTCCTTTGACTTCCATAATCAAGCTTAATATATTGGAAGAAATTGTGAGTTTTCTTAAGCTGGTTTCCTAATGACAACGTTTTAACTATTCTAGGATCATTTCATATTACTTAAGGTAAAAATAAATTGTTAAACCTTTCTAGAGGACAAGTAGTTTGGCATTTTCCTTTTTGGCAGGGGTTAGATTATATATTTGCACTAAATTCCAACTTTTAGAAGGGCCTGTGTTGCAAAACACTTTGCGCATACTGTCCTTCTGAGAACCAAATTTATTAAAAAGATTTCCTCCAATGGCCTTTTTTGAGTAAACATGTTTCTGAGCTAAATATATTACTAAATTTTAATTTTCTGAGTGTCATGGAGATGGTGGATAAATACACCCATCTCTGTTTTATCAAGTTCGGAGATGCTTATTTTCAGCTTTTCATAGTACTTTAGGATTCTTGAGCTACCTAACAATTTTGAAAACCTGTAACAGACCAAGCAAAGCAATCCATGGACAATTTCTGTAATCAGTCAAGAATGGATTCATTTAGAAAAGCAAAGAGGGAGAGAGGCAAGAAATGTCTTCAGTAATTTCAGTCAACATACCCAACGGGCCCCAATATGCTTAAAAAATCACATCTCATGTCAGATCTTGCTGGAGTGGATTATCCCTGAAGACTTGAATTTGCCTCCAAAACTAACATTAGCAGCTGCATGCTTTAGGTTAACCCTTCACCTTCCTCACAGCTGCTTTCATTTGGCCCTGAGTCAAATCTTTTAAGGGAGGGTTGATTAATTTCAGAACAGAAGACAAGAGAGCTGGGGGATACTTAATATACCCTGCAAAACATCCACACAGAAGCTTGTCCTTCCATAGGACACTCATTGGAATGTCCCAGGGCATGCTGCATAGTTTTATTATGAATTGACAACATTATAGGCAGTGGTTAGAATGTAGTATTGCAAGCAAATTCACTGCTCACTTCAGGAATTCAATTCTGAGTGGCTCAAGATTACCTCAGCCTTCCATCCTTCCAAGGTCAGTAAAATGAAGACCCAGACTGTTGGGAGCAATATGCTGATACTGTAAGCCATTTAGAGACGGCTGCAAAGCACTGTGGAGAGTCTAAGTGCTATTGCTATTGCTAATCAAAAATAAGGTATGATCCATCCAAGGCTATTGGCTTGTCAGCCTGTCTGATTTAGCTGGGAGGAAAAAAAAACCTTAGATTAAAGATATGCATGATTTGCTGAATTGTACAAATGATGTTGAAATATTTTAAAAACTTTAAAATTGTTTCAAAAATACTCATGCAGTGTGTAACATATACATACAAATGTCCATTATATAATAATAATAATAATAATAATAATAATAATAATAATAATAATAATAATAATAATAAAGTTGGAAGGGACCTTGGAGGTCATCTAGTCCAACCCCCTGCTTAGGCAGGAAACCCTACACCATTTCAGACAAATGGCTGTCCAGTCTCTTCTTGAAAACTTCCAGTGTTGGAGCATTCACTGCTTCTGGAGGCAGGTTGTTCCACTGGTTAATTGTTCCAACTGTCAGGAAGTTTCTCCTTAGTTCTAGGTTGCTTCTCTCCTTGCTTAGTTTCTACCCGTTGCTTCTTGTCCTGCCTTCAGGAGCCTTTGAAAATAGCTTGACTCACTCTTCTTTGTGGCATTAAATGATATGTATTATTTGTGAATCTATATCTTTTATAGACTGAAACTATAGACCAGAGCTGAATTAGGCTCTTGTTCCTTTCTTGACTGCTACTAGTGTTAAAAATTCATGTACAAAAGGCTTTTGCTTCCCACAAAGAAAATAGTTTGGTGTAATAGTCTTATTGTAACATCATCAATTTGCAAAGATAACTATCAACCATCTATTGATAACCTTAAAATTTACCGTAAACCTTTTGACAAGGGAGAAAAAAGCTTGGGATATCAACAAGCAGACATAATCCATTAGTGCACAAAACTCACTGGCTGGCAAAAAGTTTTTGATCGGCAAAAAAAAAGAGAACAAGAACGCTAAATTGTTAAGATATTGACTTTCTTACTTAGAGACTTTACATACTCAGAGCTTAATCATGCTTTCTTGAAATCAGTATACAAAGTTTTGTGTACAAAACAAACTCATGTTTTGGGTTTTTTTCTTTTCTTTCTCTTATTCTTCTCTTCTTTAGTCTCCTTTTTATCCTAGAGACCAAAATAGGGACAACTAGAGGACCCTATCTATCAATCTGTCTGACAGACCAGTTGCCACTGTGTTTGCCCAAATTGTTTCATCAACTGACAGCAGATAAAGTGATGGGAATGTGGAGCCTCCTGTATCCATTCAGCTAAAAGATTGTAAACTCATGTAGAATAACTGGTTCAATATCATCAGTGTAAGAAATTACATATACAATGGTTAATCAATTGTAGATACATAAAAATAGTAGCAGGGCAGCTAGTTTTATATTGCTAACAATATATAGAACAGCTAAGACCATAGGTTGCTGCCTCCAGTGAGTGTACTATCTCAATGTATTTTGGCTGAGTGAGAAGAAAAGTAAGAAAGATGAAGGGTAGTAAGGGGCAGCCACAGTTGGGAGACCTCATCTGAACTCCTTATTCATCCACAAAATTTACTAGATGGTCCTGGACAAGTTGCTATTTTTATTATGCAGTGGAACTTAGTAAAAAAAAATAATTATGGCTGATCAAAGTTCCTTCAGTTATAGGCCAACAAAGGATCTAAGAAGTTGTTTCTGAGACCTGCTCAGCTCTGAAGGAGCTTTCTAAGGTCGACTGGTTTCACGTCATGGTGAACTCAAATTATTTTGCTGTAATCTCAGATACCACTGTGGAACTGTAAGAGGTGAAAACAAGTTCATACTTCTGGTTGTCTTTATTGCCAGTGGTTATTGATAGCACAAACTACATTGCACCTGCTGTGAAAATAAATAGGGTCAATATGATAATCCATCTTTTTTGTGTATGTACCTATTATCCTTTGATAGGCTGGCACAAAGCTAAATAACTTTTTCCCCTCTGTTACATATATACTACATGAATGTTTCATTTTTTTATAAATATCCCATAAATATACTACTTGGTCTGATTTCTTAGAATAATATTTGGAAAGAAATACAAATCCCAACATACAATACTTGATCATAGTCAAAAAGCTGAGAAATGATAAATCCAAATATAGCATACCTTCAGATCAGATGTGGAAAGTATTTGTGTTTATTTGTGCATTAGATTCATAAGAATAATCGTATTAATTACATATACTCTTTACCCGCAGACAGTCATAGCGTGCAACTTTCTTTCTTCTTAATCACCAACCATGTACTAAAATTAAATAAGAAAATATTAAGGTCATGATGCTCTTTGAGAAATGCATAAACCTAAATCCATCACAGTACAAGTAGTACAATTTTTACACAACTCTCTTTCCACCATTACCTGGTAGGTTCCACATTCTCAACCCTCCAAAGCAAATTTTGAAATAAAGATAACATTCAGCAGGACATGTTAACTCAATGGCCCCCACAGAAGCAAAAGCCTTGACTTTCTCCACACATATTTGAAGACATATATGCTTTTTAAAATTGTTGAAATGCAGTTAACTGTACAGTGCATCAAGGACTAATAGAGGGAATAGTCGAAACTGCAAAATGCCAACCAGTTGAACCAGAAAATCTGGCTACAGTCTCAGAAATCTTGGTCTCCACGTTGCCAGTACAACTCACAAGCACTCCTGACAATAACTGGAATGACTATATGTCCCCTATATTTCTGCTAGAAAAAAAAGATCAAACACTGTAAAAAGACTGCAGAATTTAGTTATGTTAAACAACTAAGGTTTTGATGCTGAACTGGATAGAACCAAGGAGAAATCTAAAAATATACTTCATTGTTATCATGGAGCCACAGGAATAACTCTATTGAGGAATAACTCTTTGCTATTATTACAAGGAAGGATCTTCTTGACTTGGGAACATTTGTGATGAGTATTGTGTACCTGGGAGGAACTTAATTTGTTAGGATGGTATCAAGATCAGAACACAGAAACCTGGGAAATTTCTTGAGGCCTATATAAAATGCCTATAGGAGCAGGCAGAGGACTGAGTTTACAAATAATAGAAATGAAGCTATCAGACTGCTTATGGACACTGGACAAATTTTTATCCCTGTGGAAACTGCTTTAACCTTAGAAGATGCCATAAAGATGTTGAGGAATAGTAACTAATCAAGGGCAGGGCCAGAACAAAGGAATTTAACAGAGCTTTGGATGATGTCAAAAGACCTCAATCATCCACACAAGCTTAAATAATAAAAATTGGCAAAAAGCAAGGCAGACAGGTTTTGCCCAAGAATGAATGCAATCTGAGTGCATGATATCCCAATAATATTGCTGAGTGCTGTAAATATAAAAACACAGGTGATTCTGCAACTGTCTGTGATGCTTAAATGTTGAAAGACAATGCAATGATACCCATCAGCAACTTTCTTTTAGGAAAAATTGAATGGCCTGATGATTCTGATAAATTATGGGAAACGTCTTTCTAAATCAGTGGTTGTGTAGTTTCATCCCTTGTAGACCCTGGCAGCAAGATCTGACATTGCCTAGTATACTTTATAGCCACTACCCACTACAAGGCAGAAAATTTGAACTTCAAGTATGTTTTCTTGTAGTCAGTTAAATAACCTCTCGAATCTAGAGGCATCTATTACAATGGATCTGATATGCCATGTGGAAGATCTCCAGAGAGCAAAGAAATTTTAAACATGCTGTCAAAAAAGATAAGGCTAAAGGACAAACTACTTTCCACACATATCAGCCTCCCCACTCCACAAAGTAAAAAGAGAATTGGAGAGGATGGTCTGAACTTTGGGTGGAAGGTTGTTGAAAAGGTAGTCTGTCTACAGCTGATGAGAGCCCTGGAGAAAATAGATTATCAAGTCCCTTTTCAGTCACGATTCAGCTGGGGGATGATATTGGGACAGCTTTGATCACACTTGTAGATGACCTGGGGCAGAGCAGCAATAGCAGTAATGCATCTATCCATGTGCTTCTTGATCTCTTGGTGGCTTTCAATACCATCATCTATGATATCCTTCTGTAGTGAGGTTGCATGGTTCCATTATCTCTCTCTCCCTTTACAATATCTGCATGAAACGTATGGGTGAAATAATCAACTAGTTTGGGGGTTGCTGATAATGCCCGATTATTTGTTTCAACTCTGGACCAGCTAAGGAGATTGTTGAGGTTCTGCCACAGAAAGGGAAGTTGTGCAGGTTTGGATGGGAAGAAACTGTCTCCAAGTCAATCCTATAAATAGCTATAAGTGTTTGGGCTGCTGATATTTTATCTCTGACTTTGAATTGGGTGACACTTCCCCTTTCAAAGGTGGTATACAACTTAAGGTCTTCCTAGACTTGCAGCTGCTGCTCAATGAGCAGACAGCAGCTATGTCCAGGAAGGCTGTTGTGCAGATTAATTTGGTGTGCCAGTTTTTTCCTTTCCTACATCAGGAAGCCTTTCACTCATGCCCTGGTCACCTCAAAACTTGACTACTGCAATAAGTTCCATATGGGGTTATCCTTGATGACCATCCAGAATCTTCAACTAGTCCAAAATACAGTAGTGCTGGTAGTATATGCCTCAATATACCCACATAATACTTCCACTTCTGGGTAGAATTCAAGCTGTCAGTCATTACCAATAAAGCCCCATATGGCATAGGGCCTGGTTACTTTAGGGACATAAAGCCCTTAGCATAGTATCTTCTCAGCCAGGACAATCTGGCAGGATTACTACATTGCAGGTTCCTTTAATTAAATAATACCTTCTATCAGAACCCTGGAAAAGCATCTTCTTTGTCATAGTGTCTGCCACCTGGCATGAGGTTCCCCTTTTTGGTGTAAAATGGTTCCCATTCTGGTGTTTCAAAGGGTCCTGAAAGATCTGGCTCTTCACTCAGGCCTTTGACTGAAGTCTCCTTTTAAGCTAGGTTGCTTTCCTCAATTTCCACCAGGCTTGTCATCCTGCTATCTGTACCCTTTTTAAAAAATTCTTCTTGTTTTTAATGTTTTAAACAATTTGCAAACCACCCGCTTAAGAGTTAGGCAGCATATTAATTTAAGAAATAATAACAATAAGAGTAAACAGATTGCAGTTAATATACATACTAATAGTTCTTATTCCAAGCAGCCTTCTTCTCATTGGCTTCATGCAAATATGTTAGATTGCAACTGGAAGTCACCCAAACGCTATACTCATGTGCATTTTGAAGACATGTCAAGCCAATGCACAATTTATTCATCATTCCCATTGCTCTCCTGATGACTTCATCACACCATACAAACCAACTGAAAAGCATTTGTTCTTGAAGGCCATTGAAATCATACATTACAGGGACATTCCTTTTGCCTTCTAAAAACAGATTTCCAGGGAATGGGCTGTCTTCCTCCAGCCACCAGTTTGTGATTATTTCCATTATTCCAGGAAAGACAGCAGATATGGAACAGACATCCTAAAAACCTGAAAATCCTAGGAATATACTGTATATCCTTTCGGCTATATTTTTATACTAGGCTGTTGTACTATTTTCCCATCATCATCTTCTTTTCAGCATAATTTAAATGCAAGGACTTTCTAAAAGGCATTAGGAAGGGATTTTTAAGTACTGTACTGTATATATTCAGTTTTTCACCGTAATGTTGCTGCAACTCAGAAGTCAAGTAGCATTTTCATTTCCCCAACTATTGATGCTCAAATGTCTTAGGAACCTTCCTCAGACAAACATGTTAGAAGTGTGGCACCAAAGCATTATGTATTTCCAGGCAGACAGTAATGCTTTTTAAAAGTCAAATTAGACTTCTGTATCCCTAGAATATATGTAAAGCCAAGCTTTCTTCAACATAGTCTTGCAAAGGATAGTGTGAAATTTTGTCCATCTCTCTTCTTCCTTTCTTCCCCCTCTCCCCAAAAATGCTTGTTACCATATCACTCCAGGCACTATATGCTCTTCATATGGATAGAGGAAAACAACATTTTTTACTTTAAAAAATTTCAAGATAAAAAAAATATTGTATAACCTCACCCTCTTTTTTCCCTTCTAAGTTTAAATGGAATTAGGTAAATGCTTCTATTCTTGTTTAGATAATGTACCAGGCCAAAAAAGACCAAGCAAAAAAAACCACAAACATTTTTAACTCAGTCTCTCATGAGCTGTCCTACTTTTCATCATTTTCAAGGTTTTTTTCCCTACAAATCTACCTGAAAATATCCTTTCAATCAATACATTTGCAAGAAAAACATTAAGTGGTTTTCCCCAAAGGTATGTTTATTAATGTACAGCTTTTTGTACTTTTAATATTATATAATTATGCTGCAAATGGAAATATTGAAATTTAATTGTGTTATTTATTTATCCTTGTACACTAATATGAGTTCCCTTCCTATGCTGTTGAGACATTGCCTTGAAAAATATACACAAATTCCAATTCAAGAAGGGGGGAGAACTATTTATTACATGATTAAAACATCTTTGAGAACTTAATCCATACTCAAGGTTCCCACGAATCACACATTTTCATTGAACGAAGATCTTAAAGTCCAAACTCAGTGGTGGAAATACCATTAAGTTAATCAACACCTGGGCAATTCCAATCATTAGATACACCACTGGAATAGTGGACTGGACTCAAGCAGAACTAAAAGCCTTGGGTAGTAAGACAAGAAAAATAATGACAATGAATCATGCCCTTCACCCATACAGTGTTGACAGAATCTACTTACCAAGGAGCAAAAGGTGGATATGGAATGTTGCAAGTACATCAGATGGTTGAAGAAGAAAAGGCATTGGAAGAATATCTGAAGGACAGTGAAGAAGATGCACTGAGGCTAGTCTACCAGGAGTACTTACTGAGTACTGCAGAGATAAACTGGCCTACAAGAAAGATTAAATGAAGAACAGAAAAGAGACATAGCAAGGCAAAGTATTACATGGCCAGAAGATTAAAAAACAACAACAGATAACAACAAGACCTGGCAACGGCTAAGAGCAGGAAAGTTGAAGAGACAGACATAGGGGCTAACTCTGGCTACATAAAACCAAACTTTAAGAACAAATGCATACAATGCCAGAATTGAGAAGACAGCAACAGACAGCAAATGACATCTCTGCAAAAAAGCTGGAAAAAAAGTGCACCACCTAGTTAGCTGCTGCAAGAAGATCAAACAGACTGATTACAAACAAAGGCATGACAAAGTAGCAACAGTGGTGCATTAGAATATCTGCAAGAAATATTATTTGCCTGCATGCAAGAATTGTTGAGATTAC